ATATAAATAGAGTAAATTACAATTTGGTTCATGTGATTTAAACAAAATTGTATACATTGTCCCTGTAAAAGTAAAAGATAAAAATACCCCTAACTTAACGGGAAAAATATAAGAAAGTTAAGTCGATGGATTTTCAAAGCAAACCATTTTGGACAATAATTATAATTATTGAAGTCTAGGGACCGCTTTCGAAGATTCGTGTAAACCACATGGACCAAAACTGTAGTTTACTCTTATCATTATGACTTATGAGATATATATAAGAGCATCTCAAACAAATATGCTATATTTTCTTTAAAATAAAGTATTAAAGTTCAAAATCTTTAAAATGAATTACATTCAACTTCAATTACTCTATTTTAGCAATACTAACCTTAACTATATTATTAAAATATTCAATATATTTTTTTAGCAATACTAACCTTAACTATATTATTAAAATATTCAATATATTTAAAAAATATTATATTTCTCTTCTAAATATATACTTTCGATGTCTTTTATTGGTGAAAGTATTAAAATAATAATTTCTCTCTCTACACCAATCTTTTCTCCATTTTAGAATATAAGATAGCATAGTCGTTGGAACAAAAGAATTTGCTAAAAAAAATTCTCTAATTTAACACAGCTGTTGGAGATGCTTTAACGTGTTCGTTGGGTGTATAATAAAATCAAAAAAGGATACTATCTATTTACAACGTTGGAAGCACATAGTATAAGAGTAAACCAAAACCACTTAATCAACTAAAACTATAATAAGAAATTACCAACACCCTACTAATTAAGGTTTATAAAAGATTTATAATCAAACTCACAATTAATGATGGATGTTGACGGTATTGTTATAGGAAATACAAAACAATTACCGTAATTTAGAAGTATCATCGGATATTTTGGAATTACTTCATTTATTAAAATTCTTCCTTATATCTTGTCGTTTATTTCTCGACTAATCCCAGAGAACAACTAAAAAAAATCCTCGGTAATCTTACCGGACTTGAACCACGGGATTCAAGTCTTGTCTTTTTCACATCATGATATGACAACCGAGTAATCTTGATAGTGGTGATTTGTATCACGACTTGCGAGTTTGTACGTATGTGAGATTTTTGTCATTTGTAATCACCCTAAGCAAAATGTTTAAATTACTTGGTTAGAATCAACATCATAATTACAACTATGATATATATATATATATATAAACCATCTTACAATAAAATTGTTAAAAGAGATTATAAAGTTCAAATTTAAGTTAAAAATTGATTAATAACAATACTAGAAGGGTACTCGCGCAATGTAGTGAAATATATCTTAAATTTTAAGTAATATGCATCAATATACAGTACTTCATGCATAAAATATTGTTTT